GTGTGGTGCTCCGCTAGTGGTAGAGATGGAGATGGAGGAAGAAAGGGGGGAGCGAGGTGGCACAACGCAGCTCCCCACGCAAGACTCCAACGCACGTTCTCCAAAATGTGCAAGTGAAGAATGAGACTGAAAACAGACAATGGCTGGGGTATACGGACTGACGGGACTGGACTGGACTGGCTGGTACCCACAGAGGTACCGGCCTGGACTGGCCTACCCCGAATACAACACAGGCCTGTGAGAACAGGCCAAGGGGCTGGTCTCACAGGCCAACCCGAGGTCCGCTACAGAGGAGGAGAGTGGTTGGCAAAGAAGAAGAGCATTATCACTGGTCTACGCTGGTGTACATCATCTTCTTCTTCTTTCTTTCTTCTTCTTCTTCTTCTTTCTTTCTTCTTCGTCTTCTTCTTCTTTCTCTCTTCTTCTTCTTCTTCTTACCCACTCTCTCCTCTCAAAGTCCATTCATTTCTTTTCGCAATTGAACGGGGTTGAACTTTCTGATGAATGTGTACTACGAAATTGACCAGGACCATAATATATATATACAGCACCGCTTCACTAATTGCCGTTAGATATATCACCGGTCTTCATTCCAACAACAGCCTGCTGAGGCTGCTGATTCAGAAAGGTATAACTCCTTACATCAGAAAAACAGCCCTGCAACAAAAAAAAAAAAAAAAAAAAAACCACCCCTGCATATTTGTTCACGACAGGTATTTACACATTTGTTTCCTTCAGCTTGCTTTCCTTGATTCCCATGTCAGCATGGAACAACATACATTGTCGGATGATTGTCCAGACTTCATCAGATAAACAAAATAAGTACTGCTCATGTTCTCCCGCAAGAGAATCAGATAAAGAAAAAGAGTGAGAAGAGGCTCCATCAGACAACAGCACTGGGACGCAAAGAAATAGTACCGAGCGAAAATGAGAAATTGATTTCATTGTTAGTAAAAGAGCAACCAATAAACTTTAAGCAGATCCGGCTCGATCTGCTGGGGTGAAGGCTAACAATCTGAAAATAGGAACAGGTTCCAAGTAACTAGTCATCGGACTCCTCTCTTCACCACCCAATTACGGACAGCCGTGTCAAGGCCTCATAGAGAGTCACCATGACTGCGGGGGAAACCAAGAGCGACAAATCACACTGCTGTCGCTCTGTGCACTGTGCCTTTTGCACAACTCCCGGTGTTGGCAGTCGGAACTTCAGCGGCTCGGGTGTTGGTAGTGAGCCTAGTTCGATTTTGTGAGGACTCGTGAAAACTGAASRCGGTAACCTAGTGGCAATCATGGCGGATGCGGATCAACCTCGATCCTCTATTGTTTCCTACGAAGGAAACCTACCCGCTAAATCTGTCGCATCGTTCAACCCAAGTTGTCGAGCCCGCGGGTAGTTGTGAACCAGAGTAAGGTAAGCAAGCTGACTTGCACCAATGCGTACTGCAGACAGCCTCAGCGCTTCGTCCGCTTCTGCTAATGGTGCTTCACGAAAAGCAATTGTGCTGCACCAATCCGTTCACCACTCATTACCTGCACGCAGGGTTGCACCGTCAGTGAACGCACTTCTTCCCGCGCGCCCACCATGACGACCATTGCAGCGCTTCTTCCGTCATGGCTTACTTGTGGATAGTTGTGACCGTTGCGTTTGCGCACGGGCGCTTGCACTCTCCCAGGACACACTTCTCCCCGGTGGCACACTCACAATCCTTGCAGCACTTCTTGCACGGACCGCAGGGCACACAGCGCTTCTGTCCCTTGGGGCAGCACGGAAGCTTGCACTGTCCCTTGACGCAGTTGTGGCCCTTGGGACAATCGCAATCCTTGCAGCACTTCACGCAGGGACCGCCCTCACAGCACCGTTTCAATCCAAGAGGGCAGCCGCACGGGGGCTTGCACCGTCCCTGGACGCACTTGTGCCCCTTGGGACAATCGCAATCCTTACAGCACTTCACGCAGGGGCCATCCTTACAGCAGCGCTTCAGTCCGTTGGGACAGCACGAGGGCTTGCACTCTCCGTCGACGCACGTCTTCCCGGGGCCACAGTCACAATCCTTGCAGCACTTCACGCATGCACC